ATGCGTATTTCATAGTTTACAGAGCATATAGATGTGCATAAGAAATGAAAGACTTGAGCATAATGTAGGCTATACAGAGATCCTGGGTCATCCACGATAGATTTTTGGGTCATTTTGTAAGCAGGATATAGAAAAAAGGCCTTGGAATGAGCATGTTTACTGTGTCCATTATTTAAAAATAGCATTACACTCACAGCTGGCGGATGGATGTGGGATCTGGACAATACCGATCGCCGGTTTCTTCTGTATCACTTTCATTGAACAGCGGGTTGTCACCGGGTTGTTGCCAACTATTTGCTTCTTCCACTGTTTCTTCGGTGATTTGTTCCGGTAGATTTGTGCCGATAGCGGATCGGCGAAGTTGTGATTGTCGCTGATAGTACTGTCTTTGCCTTGCATTTCGCCGAAGCCAAAGCTGACGATTAAGAGATAGCAAATGTTCGTCACTTCCCTCATCTAACTGATGATTTAAGTCAAGTTGTGGGCAGTCAGAAAGGTATGTATCAGCATTCGCTTGTTCAGTAGGTGTAAGCGCTGAAGGCCATTGTGGCCACACATAACCAGCTGCTGCTTCCATTTCGAAGTCCGCTGGTATTGCATTACAAACCCCACGGTCTTCTGGTGTGTTTGGACCTGGTACAGTTGGTTCACCTAGTTCATTAGATCGACATGATTCAGGTGCTTGCTGTATTTGACAATTTTCGGGGTCGTTAGGCAGTTGCATAATTGATGGTAGGGTAGAAGTTCCAGCTAACCGATTGAGCATACTGCTGTGACTATCGCTGCTAGTGTACCCAAAGTTCGACAGCATTAATTGGCTCATAGAACTGTCTTGATCACTAAATAGTAGAGGTTGTCCGCTGCTGGCCCAGGATTCTGTGTTGCAACCATCTCCTTGATTAAACGGCCTTGATGAGCATGATGGATCACCGGAGCGAAGCACCATCATTTGTCTTGTGTCTGCTGCGGCCGCATTTCCTTCTTTCGCTTCTACCAGTGTTGGATGACTATGATGAGGGAACGTCGAATGACTCCAATGATCACTCATCCCAGACGAAGTCATACTCAAAGATGTGGACAATGTGTTGGTGTCTGCACGACTACCAATGCTGCGACGTTTGTGTTGTTGGAACTTCACAAATTTCCCAGCTTGCAAACTTTGTGTCTGTGGAGTAGGCACACTGCATCGCATGCGCCGACGTGGATCAAAACGTCGACTGGAAGTCGACGGTCCGTTGCCTGAAGTGGCCACATTTCCCCACCCATAAAGACGGACCGGTGTGGGAGAAGCTTTATCGTTAGCGGAAATCTCGGACAAAGGACGTGGGTCTTGCCTTTCTGTTGACAGCTGCGAACTCGGGTAGATGGTCAACCGACTGCGAGTAACTCCACCAATGCTGCTGTCCAGATCCACCGTTGTCATACTGCTAGAAGCCTAGGCGGAAACAAGAAATGGATGACGCTTAATTAATAATGGCTTTTGCCGATGAAGCTAATGGGATACCTCCTTTCCCTGGGCCGCGCTGAACAATACGAAACAAATTTGATTGCTTTGAAATAACAGCAAATCTAGTAACTGACCACTCACCATTTCAGAGGTCTTGACGTTTGCTGCGTAAGAGTGCGAGAATGCATTATTTTTCACTCTAGATCAGCTGTATAACAGTGGGTGCAAGCATACAAAGTAAATAAACGCCTGGATACCGGAACGCCCTCTCTCATGAAAGTTGAAGAAAATGCATGGTTTATTTTGTTTCATATAACGTATGAATTTCGTCAATTTCGCATTCAGTGTTGAAAATGTGCTTATTCATTCATCTGAAGTAGAGTGAAGATTTATGGAAATCAGGTGCAGTAATCCTAGGCGAACGCTTTGAGGATAGACCAAAAGATTTATCCACAGATGTGCTCAGTGTATATGGAACCGCTTCTGCAAGTGTTCCAAATGAGGACGGTGTCCTATCAACCAGCTAGTTGATTTCGCACAATAAAGCACGAAACTGGACTGATAACAGATTCCTTTATCGAATACCTGCGTGCTGATCACACTACTCTTACATCTGCGCATTTTATTTTTTGTCGAAACAGCGTTCCTGTGACCGGTGAGTTATTCGTACGAGCGGTTGGGAACCAAAGGAAACGATTAAGAGCGCCCATACATGGACACGCCCTTTTGTCTGGCCATGACCATGACCTGATGACCCCGCTGGCCTATGAGTTCCTTCTGAGTAGCACTAGATTGTATATTTTGTCTACACAAATACGCGGTCCCACGTTTTCCCACACGAGGTAATCGTTTTGACTTTTCATCCAGAGGTATTATGTTCTTCCTGGGTGTATTATGACAACAAGTATGGACAATCTTTCTTATTCCATCATAGTCTCAATTAAACACTTAATCGTGCAGTAGCAGTCACATTACAGTTTTCGGGCTTGCTTTTACTTTGACAACAAGAACAAACCAATATGTACACACACATGCACGCACCACATTGTCCTTCGAATTGCAGTAAATTGGTCTTTGTCAAGAATGCTCAATTCCGGATGGCTGACCCAAAGTTACCATTTGGGAAACAGTGAGAACGAGGATTTACAGCTGGTCTATTCTTAAAAGTACCGGTCTTGCGACATCACTGGATGGTTCCTAACACATTCATTTGGCTACACAGTTGTGACGTAACTCGAACAATTGATAATATTACATCAACAACAGTCAAAAAGATGTACCAATTGTGTTATCGTTACGATAATTGCATCTTGTTGTCAAGGTAGTACGGTTGTATGAAAGCGGCGCCAATTCTAATGGAATATTATTGAGTATATCTACGCGTTCAAGATAAAATTCATCTGGATAGACGGTGGCTTTCTGTCCGGTGGAGATTGCAGTGTGGGGTGGATCGCTATGGGAAGGGAGCATTTTGTACACCTAAGGCAGTCGGTAATTTGTAAGAGATAAACATTCCCATTTCTGTACACAGTCGTACGTCTTATAGCCGATTTTAGTGCGGGAATTCATCAACAAACTTGAAACGACCATTTAAATATAACAGTACTCACCCTAGAATGTAGGTATACATCCGGATGTTTTTTGAACTCGTTAAAGAAGCCGAACAATTCAATGAAGTTGGGTCGCATTTGGGGATTTTCATTCCAACCTGTGCATTGACCACGTGTGAAAAAAGTTTGAATAGATCACCATGAGTTCTGTGTGTACGTTGCTGAAATTCCTAAATGTCAGCTAAACCTAAATACACAACGTGAAAAACGACATCAGTTTACTGTAATGCTCCCTAGACTTACTGTTGCATCTGCACTATGAGCGTCGAAGATCTGTAGGTGTTCTGGAAAAACCTTGGACTTCTAACTTAACATTGTGATCCAAGAACATGGGTGACGCAAGGACTGTTCATTCATAAACTAGGTACCGGGGATGTTCCAGAAGCATTTAGAATGCAAACACTTAGTTGCTCGTAACAATAATTCAGGAAAATCGTAGTTGTCACTGTCAAGTTAATGTATAGAAAACACCACATGTCCGTTCCGACATTCTTTCTTGTATTCCTCCCGGTCACTTCAGTACCTAAATACCTGCTTCTGCTTAACTGCTCACGAGAAGTACAACGTGAACATTCGTCCTCACTACACTGTTAGGAACACACGTTCGCTATGCGCACTGGCTGTGTGATTGAACAACGGCCGTGCAGACGAAAACGTCGATGACGTGCGTCCAAACTACTGATCACTGTGTGACGGCTGAAAAAATTAGGATTAAACGAACGGAGGCAATAGTAGGTCCCTAGGCCGAGTAATTTCCAATGGCATTAGTGACCACGGAAATACAGATTGCGCGCAACCTGAGGTAACACTACGGTCCAAACATCATTCTTCATTCTCGCAGGATTGACTCACATAGAGTGGGTTCAGTTACTTGGGTGAGAACGGTAGTCCGAATGGAAAGGACATGGAAACCACATAACGACCGAAAACCAGGACAACCTGGTGATAGGTCGGGAGCTATGAAATTGTGGTGTTGCAAGGTATCGTGAACAATTCTGCAAAAGTACAATGGGACTGATACAGTCCAATCTTCTGAATGAATTGAATGAAAAATAGTTTCAGTACGAAAGACTGGTAGGAAGTTTAAATGTAAGGGTCATTCCCGACCGATTCTCAACGACAGAAATTACGTAGGTTCAACAAAATGCCAAGTTTAGTGATTCATCGAAATGTCACGAATGTAATCGGTATCGAACACATCCAGTTTACAAACGGAATCTCATGCACAATCTGTCGCAGTTTTTCGTATTCACGCACAAAATTTGCAACCAGCCACCTATTTAAAGGAGCACTGGACCGGACTTTCGTTCTTATCTAGACTCGCCAGTAGCACTGCAACCAGGTTCGAATTCCAGCCCACTTTCTCGTCTAGCAACTGTGCAGATCACTGCTCCACAGACTTCATAGATGACGCAACCGAATACTCACCTAAACATTTAATTGTTTATTTGTGAATAATGTTCAGTTTTATCAATCGTCTTTATAGGGGACACGGTAACTGTACTGTTACCTCCAATCAACAGCCCCAAGATTAGGACTTCATATCAAGTCGGAATTACAAAACTGCTCTAAAACGTGTTGGGCGACGTTTTTAGTATTGATATGCAATAGTGGGTATAGTTTATATAAGCTGAACATTAGCCACACTCTATCGTAGCTTATCACATTCGCACTAATATTGCGACCTGCCCGTTTCGAAAAGAAACTCTAGCTCCAAGTTTGCCTTTGTTGAAGCCCGTCCGTAGTGAGTATTATTTACTCGGTCGGGATCTGAATTCCGGCCACAAGCTTATGAATCTATTTTGTTGATTGTTGCGTCTAGGTGAGCAAAAACCGTAAGTCTGTTGTGGATGACGTTCAAATTGAATCAACCAAATCTCTTGTTACTGATAAGTAGTTTGGCGGATTTGATAATTTAGAAGATATCCATTTGTGAAAGATTTAGACTTCGGCTGGATTCGAACCAGCAACCGAAACATCATGCCCAAACATGGCAGTCGCTCTACCAGCTGAGCTGCGAAGCCACGTAGCTCAGCTGGTAGAGCGAGTGCCACGTTTGGGCATGATGTTTCGGTTGCTGGTTCGAATCCAGCCGAAGTCCAGATTTTTCGCAAGTGAATCTCTTCTAAATCTCTCATTATCACCGTATTTGGCAGTTTATTCAGTTAATTATAGTGGTGTGAGCATACAAAAACAGATTGCGACTTGTCAGGCTTGCTTTTCGAATGTTTAGAGGTGACGGAGTGAAAGGTCGCTGCCTGAGCTGAGCAGCATAATAACTGAAGAAAACGGAGGGTCTTATCATGTGCAGGGTATGAAACTCGAATCTTGCGCTTCTCTGGGGTTGACTGGAAAGTCTGTGGGAATATGATAGCTGCGACGTATTGTGAATTATGTTCAGTTTATACCGTTATTTGTCAGTGGGTACTTAAGCAATCACGGTTACGAGTTCCATTACAAACAACACGATCACTTGAGTTGAATACACTTTAGGTTAATCGGACAGCCAAGCAGATCGCATGTTCAGAGTTCATGGCCAAAATTGTCTCACTACAGAGTTACGAAAGGCTTGTACAACAAAGCACGTAATCAGCCTGCTCTTTACAAAGTAAGGTACAATTCATCACGGCTTGTGGTATTACTAACAGTCGGTACTATAAGGAGAGAACAATTTAGTGCGACCTGTAGGAAAAACAAGATGATGCAGACAAGTTTGTGTTTGAGGGACAAGTTTTGTAACACAGTGTTTAAAAGACTTTTTATAAGCTGATATGAAAATGAGGACCTATCCTGGCTTAGTGCACATCGTTGTAATATCACATTCGGCTTTAGTTTTTCAGCACATCCTCGTCGTCCTCGCCACATGTAGTCCATGGTCAAGATGTGAACGAATTCCACCTGCAACGTTCACCCATACAAGTGTCTACTAGTTCTGTACTCGCCATTTACACCTCTGTCTTTCCGCCTCAACTTGTAGACGATGACTGCAACGGAGTGATAGAGCATATTTTGGTTGCATCAGTCCAAAAGCAGCGCCATCCAGTGAACGTAGTGTGGTTAGCCAAGTGAATGTATTTACGATATCCACATTGCCGCACCATTGGACGGTTGATTGGGCATACTACCACCATGACGACATAAAGTGTACACTCTAGCTTGCTTATGTGAGCTGGTTGGGTGGCATTTTGAGGAAATCGTTCTCACTGAGCACCTCCTAATGTTGGAATATCAACCTTCCTCCAACATGTAGCTGGAAATCGTCGGCATGTCAACAACAGAGCAACATTTGTGTTTACTAGTGGCAAGTAGTACAGAATTTGTGATTGAAGCAGTCGGAACTATTCACAACCATAACACTACGACAAACAATCGTGCTTACTCCTTTCGGGAAGAAGTATGATTCAGTCTTGCTATAGCTCGTTATTAATACATATCCTTGTCAAGGCCGGGGATGTGAACTCCCACTAAGCTTTCATGCGGCAACCGTGTTGATTTTTGTGCCACTGACATGACGTTAGGTGTGACCAAATTATCATAAGCAAACGTTCAGCCAAATTGGTTTATCAGTAATCAAAATACCGCCCAGCGGAAACTCGCTGAGTATTGTAAAGAATACCCTCATTTGTGGTCAATAGGACAGCTACTGTATCCACTCTTCAAGTAATCGGATAATCCTTTATTTAATAGCCGGTGAGTGTGGCACCGATTCGGAAGTGACAATTCGGTTGTGTCAGCGACGCACTGGTCAACACAGTTGTTTTAAAGAAACGTGAACCGGAGTTCGAATCCCGGCAGTGGATAGGAAGTACACTTGTGTTTTTGTCAAAAAAAACGTGAACTTAATCAAAGCATACCTTATAAAGCATGGTAGGATTCCCCCTAGAATCCCAAGGTCGGTCATAATTTGGTGTCAGCAGGATAGCCTAGACGTATTAAAAACGACAGTACGTACAATTAAACAGAACGCATTAATTCAACGGTTCATTCAGCTACTCTGATAGTTTATTCTAATTACATTATACAAAACCTAACGGGTAAGCTGATGTGGAAGTGCCTTCTCGATACTGTACAACTTTGCAAAATGGTGCCTCACAACTTGAATCATTTATGTGGTTATTCACACCTCACTGGTAAGTACTACTCTGACTTTGAGGTAATTATTTTAAGTGCTGAACTTTCGTGAACTTTGCACCGTAAGAAATAATTTAATATCGACAAAGCTCAGCGAGACTGTAAAAGACCAAACTCACATTTCAGCATAAGCTGATAAAGTTCCAGAGAACAGTTCACTGGTTGTGGAAGTCGTCCACCCGAAAGAATGTGTGCTTTGACATTGGACGTTTCAATTCGTTCATAGGGTTTCTCACCAAAAGTGAAAATTTCCCAGGTTGTGACACCTAATCATAACGAATTATTAAAGTGAACGCATTTGGGAATGTTCTGGATAAATGGAATGTATCCAGTGAACAATAGTGATTAGTGGCATGACTGACAAACTAGTTTATCATAGACAAAATTTCATATACTTTACTGGTAAGCTTCACAGGGGCTCAACACGAGGAAAAATCCTATAAACTTAGATCACAATAGACATCATTGAGTGATTTGCACACAAAGTAGGCTGACCTTTTGTGACTGAGGTAAGAAAGTGTACCACCTGGAGCCAGAACATTCGTTTGGCCAAAATGGACTAGTCTTGTGACCATGGCACTAGGTCGCGTATGGTAACTGATTAGGTTGACGTCCATATCCGCTAACACTTACTAAGCAATTAGAACTATCAGGTCACTTTTATTCTGCTACACAAATGTATTCACCCATTGTTGAGTGATCGATAACATACGTAAAGAATGTTTTGTTCACTGTAAATGTGGAAATTTTCCTGTAGAACGCAACCCTGTTTAAAATCGTCTATTATTCGTTATACCGATGATGAATTGGAAAGATTGGCGAATTGGCAAGTGGTTCCTTCATAAGTTGTTCCGCACTACAGTCTTACTGCTCAACAGTGACGCAAGTGGATTTTAGTGTGAACTGCTAGTGAGTTCCTACCAAAGCAGTCAAACCGCCGGACCGTTTGGCCATTTATGTATAGTAGGGATGGGTAACTCAAGTCAGACGTGCAATTTAAGAGTGCCCAATTTGATTTAGCAACCAGGCGTCGCGTTTGGGTATGCCGTTTCTGTCGCTGATTGGAATCGAACTAAGGTTCAGATTTGCTACAAATGAGTGTCCTCTAAAACAGCTAAATTATTTGGAAATTTTTCAGTTGCGGTTTTCTTGTGTTTTTTTTGACTCCATCCAACTAAAGCATATTTGCAAATAAATGAAGAAAAACTGGCAAAAAAGCATATTACCAAATACCGAGCATTAATGCAACGCGTGCTTATTTAGTAAAAGCAGCAGAGGTCATTTACCAACAGACGCCCTGAATCGATTCATTTTATCATTTAGTTCACCTGTTGTGTGGACGAAGAAAAAATGCTTCTCCGAGTTCGGCCATATTATTGAAGTTCCTATGGTATTTTAGAAAACTTCTGACTGAATCTCCTCAAGCATGTGAAATTAAATTTAGCAACAGAGAGTCGATTAGGGAAACCCTAGCTATTCGGTTAACAAGCTCACTGTGTCTGTTGGACCATCATTCTTGAGACGGAACGAAGACATCTCTTGCGTTTAACACTCAGCATGGATATGTGTTAGCTTAGTGGTTACAGGCGGAATGGTTGATTGAGCGGTGAAAAACCTGCTGCTGATGGAGTCCTACAGAAGCCGCACATCATATGCTGTTTACCTGCGCTCACTTGGTCGCTTTTGATTTGCAGTGAAGTAGCTGTGTTCACCAGAACTTTCTTACTGAATATGTACTGATTTCCAGGCTTGGAATATCTCTTCTTCTCAAAACACGTATATGATTCTTTCTATTACTAAGACAGTTACCTTTCATCTTCCTGACTGCACACAACTAGGACTGTCAGCCTTTCCGTCAAATACCTGGCATCATTGTACATATCTTACTTTAGCACGAGATAGTTCAAACGGTGTACGAAAAAAACGAATTGAGTTCCATTGCAGTGACTTGAATCCTTAGGTAGAATTCCTGAAAATTTCATCCAACTACATGTGGATCAGCATTCAATCGAAATGGTCAGTACCCCCCCCCCACAACATCTCCAGTGGGAGGAATTATGTTGTTTGCCAGTTTAAACATGTAGAATCACCAGTTACATGATACGAAACGGTTACATCCAAGTTGTTGACCTGTCGTTCCAGCTTCTTCCTGACTCATTGAGCCGGGTGCTGGGACAATTTTAATAGGGTTTGTGCACAAATATCACACACTTCTTGGCACGTATACAGAATGTTCGTTTTGCTGTTGACGTCTGCATTTTACTGTTTTACCACTGTTTTGTTTTCGCTTTAAGGGACAGTACTAGCACCTGTCTACTCGTTTGACGGTCGCTTCCAGTCAAGCGAACAATTATCACTCTCTTCATAGCAGGAAGTATGTCTAAATAGTTCGGTCCGAAAAAACTGATTCAGGAACAAAGTCAGAATTTCAGAAGTTGAGCTGGATCAGATCTTAGTGTTGGTCATGATATGTGTGATGCAAATTGTAGGGATGTTGATGAACAAGCGGTAGCTCAGTGGCATATAGGGTAATAGTTATCTTAGGTCTTCTAGTTACTTGTGTCATATGAAGAAGAGTAGCGGTAGCTGGTCATTTGCTTTAACTCCTACTGATCAGACATCAGGATCTGAATAAACATGGACTGAAATTCGGAAAACCCAACGGTCCACTGCACGCGGAACACTAATGTGCATCCACTTCTTCAACTTACTTCTAAACTGCACATACATGGTTCCAAATGACATTACTTCAAACTAAGACCAACAAGTTTCGTGAAATTTATTGTGATGTGAACAAAACCAAAACACGGCAGTCAGCGCGAAGGAAATCGTCACAACGATGGTCCAATTGAAAAGTTTGTGTGGTAAAAAGCGGAGAGAGTGGGTTAAGAGA